TTTTTTTATAAAAGATATATAATAAAAATTTTTATATTTAAATAAATCCTAATACCTAATAACTTAATTAAATAAAACAGAATTAAAAACTTTATTTTGAAAAAATAATTTATTAATATTTATCTGATGTATCAAAATTTTCACAACGGACCATATCATGAAATATTAACGGATGACTTATTGGGAACCATCAAGTATAATGAATTGGATAAAAATAATATTATTTTTATGCAAGATAATGATTTGAAACATGTGGCTAATAAAACGATGGAATGGTTTGATGATTAATGTAATGGAATGGCCACCTCAATCCCCCGATTTAATCCGATTGAACATCAGGTAGATAGGGACGCTATTCAACAAATTTGGATTACAATGGATAATGAATTTATAACTCGGCTAATTGAAAGTATGCCCAAGCGAATGGATGATGTAATTAATGCTAAAGGAGGTGGTAAAGAAAGTTTTGTTTAAATTTTATTTGTTAGTTAGTTGGCAATAGTATTTTAATTTTTATGGTTTAAATCAATCAAAAGAAACGCATTACGTAAAATTGCGTAAATCTCTTTTTTGTTATTACGATAATAATTACCTATAAGATTATCCCGGTATGTTTTTTTAAGATTCGCCGATTATGTATATTTAAATTTATGGATCTTCAATGTATGTGCGCAAAGTTATTAAACTTTTAAATTTGTCGTTTGGATGATGCAAAACATTTGGCAGCCATTGTATCTATGTATATTGACTCTATCCCGAACAAGAGCGTTAAAGTGTAATATATACCAAATTGTTCTTTAATCGGGTTGAGACTTTGACGTACCAATAAAGTCCATCATTTGTCTCCCGCCACAATTTTATCTCATCATCCGTCTTTTTTTGTGGAGTACAAAATAAGCGAGAACATTCGATATACATAAGTTCGAAGGCCATTTCAAGATAATTTCCCAAGAACATAATATCCGGGCGTCTTCCCTTATTTCCTTCTTTTCTATTTGCACTAGCAATGCTTTGTTTTTCTGATGTACTAACAAAAAATGAGTTTTCAATAGGAAGATTTTTTAAAGCAGTCTGGATTGAAGTAACAATGGCGGTTAATTGGTACGTTCCCTCGTTTAGTGATCTTGCAACATTAGAATTGAATGCCGGATTATTCCAAACATCTTTCAGAACGTTTAAAATTTCTTTAACAACGCATGCAGTGCCTTCTTCAGACTCCTTCCAAGTTTTATCATGTGTCCATTTCGGCTTTGATCTTTCGTCGCGCCTTTTAAAATCTTCTATGAATCCTTACATATCTCTTGGACTATTGGCCTGGGATTTGGTAACATATTACGAGCAATTTTCTAATACAAAATATACATTATTAGTGGTGATAAAAATACGTATACTTATATTAAATTCTTTACCATAAAACTCTTTTTTAAGTTCTTGGGAAGATTCTTCACAAGATCTGAATCGTCACTGAGAACCTGGCATGCCAAAGGATCTTCCCAGAATAATTCTTCGACACGTGTCTTATTCTCATCAGAGTATAAATGTTGATAGAGGGAGCTTGTATCTCTGTTAAGTTTTCCTTTCAGCTTTTCTATATTATTCCTAATCTGAAGGGGTTTCTCTTTATTTGTTTTAACAACTCGAGCGCCCGTAAACTACATCATTAAAAAAAATATATCAGTGCATATGCAAAGTTTCCATTTTCGTGTGGCCACCACATTGAATGAAACTTTGTATGGAATTAAAAATAACTACATTTTAGTTAGGGACCCGCCCTAGATAGCGTAATACCCTGTAGAAGTGGATCACACAATATCTTCATTTTTATATAAATTTTAATCACGTAGAAATTGTCTTTATCAATAACGAACCTGTGGAAGTAGAAGCTTTAACTGGTGTGAAGAACATTCGCATATAGATTAATCGATCGTAACTCATCTTTCGAAATCCAAGGCTCGTCTTCTATCCCTTGGTAGATAACTGAAGTAGCGGTTATATGGCGTTCTTTCGCACTTGTCAAGAAATTGTAAATTTTAGTTGTAAATCGGCGGACATATTAATAAATATTCAGTTAATAGTAAAAAAAAATAGGTTAGAAATCGCAAGCAACGAAAAAAAAACAAATCACTAAAAGCAATAAGAGCAATAACATTTATTATGTAATATTTTAAGGGGTTGAGGCACGTGATATCATTAGAATTTCAGAATGTAGCGTACACGGGACATGTCTCCCTATTTGATACATTTACCGTATATCTCCGAATATAAGCAACCCCTGAATAAAAGCAACCACCTCTTTTTAAGACCTGAAGTTCTGAAAATATTATATATAAAACATAATAAATTTATACTTGAATATAAGCAACTCCCCCCCTTTGCCCTGCCAAAACCTTGCATTTTTTGGTTGCATATATTCGGAGATATACGGTAATTTTTTTACTATATGATCGACAACCGACATGAAATGTTTTAAATGTTTTACATATAATAGTATGGGTTGGTGCAAAAAGATTTGTACCTCAATATAAAAATCAATAAATACTTCTAATAAAAATCATTCAAATTTTAATCAATCTTTATAATTTTTTTATATTAAATAAAAAATGATCTAAATTGAC